GATACACATTCAGTAATAAGTACCCTGTTATAAATTGGAAAACATTTGTCTTCCGTGATTGTTCTGGTGGGCATTCATAATACAAATATATTTTGATGTTTGCAGTCGATATTTGTAATGTTCCACTGGCTTCGGTACATAAAAGAAAAATTCTTCTTTATTTTTGTGCGTGATAGGCCGTCCAGCTTTACTTGAAAATATTTCATTGCGATGAATATCTTTTGTTTGGCTTAAGGCAAAATGCAACCAGGAGACTTCTTATAATTATTGTACGTCTGCTTGCCTATCCCTGTACAACACACACGTTTTGGGGCGGAATACGTTAGCAACCAATCATTATCCTTAGCACATGGCATCATCTTTATAAATATCAGCCTAGTATGTGATGAAGTCTACAGATCATGAAAACCATCATATTGCAGCTTTGTACATTTAATTGTCTAACAGCGCGAGAAACTGATCGCCGTATTGTTTCTCAAACAAAACTGAAGTGAGTCCTGCATTTGCTTGTTCCGTTGTGTCATTTGCATCTGACGCTTAGTAATTTCCAAGTGTTTGTTTCACTTGAAAACTTGAGTTAATTATGCAGACATGAAATAACTCCGAATGACAGGTTTCTTGAAGAAGACTGTGTCTTGGGATGTTGCACCGTGTAAGTTTGTATACATTTACCGACGTTTCAGAGCTGCTTACTCCCTCCATCATCAGGGCGATGAAACGTCCGTTAATTTGTACGAGACTGCACGATGCAATAACCCATCTCATCTTCATACTCGCCGCCGTGAAGACCTGATATTTTACCCTTGACCTTTTGATCTATAATTTTTATAGCCTCTACTGTTTTAGTGAAAACTATAATCTTCTACATCAGTACTTTAGAATTATTCCGTCTTGGTGCTTGATAATTTTTGTTAATTCATTGCTGTATGAAAGTACCTTGAACTTGTCAAATTTAATTTACGTATGAAAGATGTTTGGACATGTATTTTTGACAATGCGTGTTAACAATTAACTGTTCGATTTAATTGCTTTCATGAATATGTACGGAAATACTAGAAGTAGCTACACATCTATTTTATTATATGTACAGAAGACTACACAATCTATTACTAACAATTTCTTCTGCTGTAATTCAGATAAATTTTAAATAAATTAAATGTTATATTCCGTGATTAGCTTCTCTGTTATTGTCTTTCATGTAGAGAAGGAACATGAAGAAAGATATTGATTGATTCATCATCTGCGGACAAAAGAGAAAAGAAGGCATTAAAAAGTACTGATGCGGCTGTGTGCAACGTAACATGTAGCATTTATTATTAATTTAAAATGTTTATAGGCACTTTTTAGATTGCGCTTTTCAAATTTCATTCCTGGTTAATCTAATATTCTTTGCGACGAATCAAGTCATTATAATTTTAAATTAAATGAGTTGATGGAGCTTCATGAGTCGAGGATTAGATATGAAGCTTTACACTTTACAATTTCGTGTTCATAAAAATGGACAGGTTGTTAATCAAAAGAGAGGAAGGGGGGAATATGTTACGTTGCTAATATCAAGCTCATATTGCGTGTAATTATATGGACATCTGCTACTACTCTTGATTCTGTTAATGTTGCAGACTGTGTACCCTGTCACATTATAAATGAGTTTTATTACATTCAGCATAGTTGAGTTGGACACTGGAACAAACTTGCCAGCCGTGAGTGCAAACTCCTTGTTCGCTACGGCGATGATGAAGATCAGACAGCGCTGGAACGGGACGGGAGTTCCCACCCAGTCGCATCCCCAGGCCGCGTCTCTAACACTTTCAGCCTGAAACAGTGTGAATATAATTAGAAATGAAATGTTTCTTTAATAAACCATTTTATCCAACTCCTGGTTTCGAAATGTGTATGTAAACAAAAATTCGAGGCAACATCTATTAAGCGTACTTTCTTTTTGCACAGACTTCTAGTCCTACGAATGTGTAAATATCGTCGTATTTAGGTAATACAAATTAGAATTTATATATAAGCCTTACCACTCGGTCTAGCTCACGGCGTTACATGCTAGATTCCTACGAAAATCAGATGACAGAGACCTAGTGGATTTAGATTGTGATTAGCATTTGCGTTTCTATCAACTGCAGAGTCTGTTTACTGTAATTTTCATTGTAGGCATGTATGTTATTCATGAATTTCATACAATAGGTTTAATTAAAGCGAAATAACTGTTTCAAATGGAGGCCCTATGTTAATTTGAAACGTGGTTTTTCTGTATGTTACTTTCACACACTTTGCACTGTCTGTTCACTTGAACAACATGTTTCGAACCAGTGTTGCAATCATCAGGAAGTTGAAAAGTATGTGAAAATTGACGTACAGAAAAAATAAGTATCAACATAACACAACGGGATGCTACACTACACACTTTATCTGAAACGTTGGTACCCACCTACAAGTCCACAACTCGTCACAATCCGTAAGACCAACATCGCCATATTTGTGATCGCCTCCGTGCCAAATTTTGAATGATTCATTAGCTACCGCCATCAGTCCAACATCTAACCCTGCATTTCGTGTGCAGCCGTGTTTAAGTTTTATAATGCACGATAAATATCTTAACAAAATATAATTTTTTGAAAGAATTTCCATAATCAATATTTGGACGATATTAAATTATCCTATTTTATAAAGAAACGAAAGTAAAATGTTAATAAATTATTCTTACCAGCACTGACAACTCATTTCCAAGCCAGCAAGTTAAAATCAGAATGCAGGACCAATGTAAAAATATAAGAGTCGCCTGGACTAGATCTACGTGGTCTCCCCAACTCTGTTGAAGGAAATAGTGCATTTTAGTGAGTGGATGGCATTCCGGGAGCCACAGTAAATTACTGAAATATAGTTTTGAACTAAGATTTTTTCGTAAAGAATTTAAAATTTGAATAAATTTTATTATCCTCGAATTCTTTACTTAACGAATTTTTGATAATAGCATTTGCATTGGGTATCGTACCGTGATGAACGAGAAGACAACAGAACAGAGCGCTGTTAAAATAAGCAGAAACACACCGCACTGCACTGTGCTCCAACTGTCTTCGAAGGCCTGCATGAACCTGTGTATGAACACACAACATTAAATCATTACCTTTATGCTGCCTACATCGAGGCGTGAAATTGGTTTGTAGTGTCGATGTTATATTGTAATCTTACTGTTTTATCTGTTGGTGGTGCCGAATGCAGTCGTTCAGTTGTTTCTGCATGCGATGGAACACTTCCTCAGGGGTGTGGGGATGTTCCTCTCCATTGGTCTCGGCCCCACAGTCCTGTTGTAATATGATATGTGTCTGTCTGATATCCAGTAGGGCCCCTTTGAGTTTCTCCAGCTGACTGCACGCCACACACACTAACGTCGCGTAAAGGCTCAGGAAGCCACCGAACACACACGCGATGAGAATTGCTGCAAAGACCTTCCAGAAACGAAGTAGCAATTGACGTGAAAGAATATTTGCGTTTGAAAGGGGAATTTTGTTGACGGGAAATAGGTGCATAATCTAATAGGAGGTTATAACTAAGATGTGGGAGAAGATACATAGATTTTGTTGGGTACATCTATGATGATCACATTACAGAATTACATTAAGATTGGTGTTAGGAATATACGTATTATTTGGGGGAACGGAGGTCGATAGATGTGTCTCAGAATCGTGTCCAGTTGCGGGATTTGGTATTTGGTGTTTTAATTTTACGAATTCTGTTACCATTATATTAGTTTGGGACCCAATAAATTTTTATATATTTGTGGATTTGTTGGTTGGAGTGATGAAACTGTCTCAAATTAACCGCAGTACTGAGTAAGAATGGCCTTTTTAATTCATGACAGACAAAATACAACTTTATAATTTCTTTAGGTACAGGTCTGTGCATATGAAGTGTAATCCGGTTGAATGAATTGTTTTTACGATGTGATAGGTCTTCACCAGCGTATGTACTGATGATAGGTGTTGCTCCACTGAATAGAAGGAAAGGTGGAACTCTGAAATTCTACCAAGACACGGGTTTCAAAACTTAAAAAAATTTTCAAAACTTAAAAAATTTTCAAACCTTTTTTCTTCAACTGGCCATACCAACTTCAAGGTTTTGTTTCGAAGGTTATGGTTTACTAACGGGAGTAGTATTGATGATGCACTATAGTCATGAGATTCATTTCACATTTTCTAGAAGTTTTAATTTATCTTTCGCAGCTAATCTGTACGTGATGTATCTTGAGTAGAACCATTGTCGTTGTCTGGAGATTGATATTAATTTTTTCAACAGACTAAGTTCAATTAGCTTTTTCTCCCGATGATGGAAATAGCACTATCCGAAGAATTGTGTCGTTTGTAAACAAAGACAAATTTTTCGTCCAAGAATATATATTACAAAATTATCAAAAAAAATTTACGCCAATCAAAACACCGACACATAAATTAATAAGAATACATAATATGAGGTGCTATAGTAAAAATTTATGATAATTTATATTCATGCACTATTGCCCAAAATTCTGTTGACTTGTTACCATATAGTACTAATTTTTCTTCTCTTTTGTGGAATTTGAATATTTTATCCTAAAACGAAATTAAATTCACTTCATTTCATTAATGTACTCGGCGACAACATTTTCTGTAGTACCAGTGTTAGTATTAATATCTACCTGTGTCAAGTTCACAATCTCGTACGCTGGGCTGGCAGAAGAATCGAAGGGGTACCACTTGGTGATCATCATTTCACGATTCCTCACCATACGCACACCACTTTGAAGGAAATGTATTAGAAGTATGCAGGCTGGATAATATCGGGCAAATGATTGTGCGATCTGTATGTATCCAACCATCGTTAAACGTCCTGTTTCTGGGTCCCTGGTCGGAACTTCTTCCCACGTGAAGGAATCTGTCAGACTAATGAGGTGTTCGATGTCACGTTTCCTATAACTGCAAGGGAAATAAATATTATTTTATCTGTAAACATATCCGCGATATTCTGTTCATTTCTTTGGCACTTTGTGTGACACAAGTTTTAAGCGTAATCTACTATTGGTATTTAATATATAATGGGGCTCTTTTCTTACCTAAATTCTCAAAAGCTTGAATTAATGGAATTCGTCGTCTATCTCACGTCACAAAACGAAACACAAGCAACTCGTCGTTTTTAAACAGCTAATTTTGTCATTCACTGCCCTTTAAGGGAGTCTGTTCGGTTTATCCGAAACACATTATAACATTGCCTTTGAGAAACTTTGAGTTACCTGAGGAAGAAGTGTTGCCACATAACGACCCCCATTCCAAAGACGACTCGAGAACTCTTCATTAATTCCTTTAAGTCTGAACTGACGAGGAAATCCATAAAACCAGACAAGCAAGTGATGTAGAAAGATACGGGGACGATTACGTTATATGCACTTCGAAGTGTTGTTATTGAGTGCGTGTTGAGTGGAATTCCAGCTGATCTGAGGGTGAGCAGAAGTTTGCGAAACCGATTCTCTGACACGGCTTTTGCGTTAATTTTCCTTGCATTCATGTTTCCAACGACTATGTTTAGGTCTGTAATTGTTTTGTAAATTGTAGTTGTTATGATTCACAGTTTTACTCTAATCGAGCTGCAATTGACGAGTGCCTGCCAGTTTTAAGATGGCAAATGGAACTGAAAAAAAAGTGTCTAGCTCGATGGTAATTCGTGCATGCGCACGAAAGTCCTGCGCTCTGTGTAGGATAATTGGAATACGTTGTGTGATTGTACTTTCCCGAAAATTCATGATACAGTTTGTTTTATTTCGTTGAATTTTATGATTAATTTATAACGCTACAAAGTTCAGTATTGGACCCGAGTGGGAATTTTTTAGTATTTGAAAGTAGTTCAGCTTTGTCGTGAAAATAAGTTTTATGAAGGTTAGTAATTATTCTTAAAATGTTCAAAGTTCCTGGTCTCGCCTCACAAGAACGTCGTGATACACGTCCAGTAATAGGTTTCGTGTTATAAATTGGAGAACCATTTGTCTTTCGGGATATGTTCTGCTGGACATTTCTAATACAAACTTGTTTTGATATTAGCAGTCGATATTCGTAATGTTCCACTGGTTTCGGTACATAAAAGAAAAATTTTCCTCTATTTTTGTGCGTGATAGGCCGTCCAGCTTTACGTGAAAATGTTATATTGCGATGAATATCTTTTATTTCATATAAGGCAAAATGCAACCAGCAGACTTCTTATAGTTAATGTACGTCTGCTTGCCTATCCCTGTACAACACACGCGTTTTGGGGCGGAATACGTTAGCAACCAATCATTATCCTTAGCACATGGCATCATCTTTATAAATATCAGCCTAGTATTTGATGGAAACCCTCATTATGCAGCGTTATACATTGTAATGGGTTCGAATTTTATAATTCATAAAGATTTACAACAAGTTAATGCTAAGAGGTATTTAGCGGATTGCCATAAAAATTATTATCCATCTTGAAAAAGTAATTTTCCCTGAACTTATCATATTTACCGCCTTTATTGAATTCCGAAAATACATTAAAATGTTTGCAAGAGCCTTGTTTTGGTCCGTGTTTCTGAGCTAAATGAATCGAGGCCCAAAGTCTGTTTATTCATATTTAGTTTTAATATTATTCTTCCATCTGCGCTAAAGTATTTCAAGTGATGCTTTCCTTGCAGATTTATATAGGAACATATTTAATGTTTTCTTTCAATTTCTATATCGTTCTTCCAAATTTCCGCTTTCCAAGACACTTCGGCGTCGTTTACCGAACTTGATGTTGAAATGCATTTCTAGGCTCAACTGTGTTAAACATGTATTTTGGCTGCCTTACGTCGATTGGCATTACGACGCTGAGTGTATGTGTTCTAGTGTCCGTTTCGGGTGGAATTCTGAGTCTCTCCTGCGGTAAAAGTTGCTTTTTGGAGGCGTTGCTACGATAGTACGCAAATTAAGTCTTTGCGAGTGAAAGTCGCAATGCACGTAGTATAATTGTCGCTCTTCTCATGCCTTTGTCGCTGTAGAAGATTTGAGTGAATGAGCCACCGAGTTAGAACAGGTGGAGTGTCGAAAGAAATAAAATTTGAGATTTTACTCTTGACCGTTTTACCAACTAAAATTTTTATAGCCTCTACTGTTTTAGTTAAAACTTTTTTCTTATAAATCCATAGTTTAGAATTGCTCCGTCTTGGATCATGATAATTTTTGTTAATTCATTATTATATGGAAGTACTTAGAACTTCTCAAATTTAATTTACGTATGAAAGATCTTTGGACAAGTATTTTTGACCATGTGTGTTAACAATTAACTGTTCGATTTAATTGATTTCATTAATATGTACGGAAATACTAGAAGTAGCTGCATATGTATTTTATTGTGTGTACAGAAGACTTCATAATCCTTGCTAACAATTTCTGATGCTCTACTTCACATACATTTTTTCGTAATATTATACTCCGTGATTAGAGTCTCTGTTCTTGTCTTTCATGTGGAGAAGGAACATGAAGAAAGATATTGATTGATTCATCATCTGCGGACAAAATAGAAAAAAAACCCACTATATTAAAAAGTACTGAAGCGGCTGTGTGAAATGTAACATGTACTATGCAATATGCATTTAAAATTTTTGTAGGTACCTTTTAGATTAGCTAATCTTTTCACACTCCGTTTCCGATTAATCTACTATATATTGTTTTCGACAAACGAAATCATTATTATACGTTGAGTCGAGGATTAGATATTGAGCTTTACACTTTAGAATTTCCTGTTCATAAAGAATTAACAGATTGTTAATCAAAAGAGAGTAAGGGGAGGTATGTTACATTGCTAATATCAAACTCATATTACGTGTAATTATATGGACACCTGCTACTTCTTTTGGTCATGTTATTGTTGCAAACTTTGTGCCCTCTCATATAATAAATTGAACTGACGAGGAAATCCATAAAACCAGACAAGCAAGTGATGTAGAAAGATACGGGGACGATTACGTTATATGCACTTCGAAGTGTTGTTATTGAGTGCGTGTTGAGTGGAATTCCAGCTGATCTGAGGGTGAGCAGAAGTTTGCGAAACCGATTCTCTGACACGGCTTTTGCGTTAATTTTCCTTGCATTCATGTTTCCAACGACTATGTTTAGGTCTGTAATTGTTTTGTAAATTGTAGTTGTTATGATTCACAGTTTTACTCTAATCGAGCTGCAATTGACGAGTGCCTGCCAGTTTTAAGATGGCAAATGGAACTGAAAAAAAAGTGTCTAGCTCGATGGTAATTCGTGCATGCGCACGAAAGTCCTGCGCTCTGTGTAGGATAATTGGAATACGTTGTGTGATTGTACTTTCCCGAAAATTCATGATACAGTTTGTTTTATTTCGTTGAATTTTATGATTAATTTATAACGCTACAAAGTTCAGTATTGGACCCGAGTGGGAATTTTTTAGTATTTGAAAGTAGTTCAGCTTTGTCGTGAAAATAAGTTTTATGAAGGTTAGTAATTATTCTTAAAATGTTCAAAGTTCCTGGTCTCGCCTCACAAGAACGTCGTGATACACGTCCAGTAATAGGTTTCGTGTTATAAATTGGAGAACCATTTGTCTTTCGGGATATGTTCTGCTGGACATTTCTAATACAAACTTGTTTTGATATTAGCAGTCGATATTCGTAATGTTCCACTGGTTTCGGTACATAAAAGAAAAATTTTCCTCTATTTTTGTGCGTGATAGGCCGTCCAGCTTTACGTGAAAATGTTATATTGCGATGAATATCTTTTATTTCATATAAGGCAAAATGCAACCAGCAGACTTCTTATAGTTAATGTACGTCTGCTTGCCTATCCCTGTACAACACACGCGTTTTGGGGCGGAATACGTTAGCAACCAATCATTATCCTTAACACATGGCATCATCTTTATAAATATCAGCCTAGTATTTGATGGAAACCCTCATTATGCAGCGTTATACATTGTAATGGGTTCGAATTTTATAATTCATAAAGATTTACAACAAGTTAATGCTAAGAGGTATTTAGCGGATTGCCATAAAAATTATTATCCATCTTGAAAAAGTAATTTTCCCTGAACTTATCATATTTACCGCCTTTATTGAATTCCGAAAATACATTAAAATGTTTGCAAGAGCCTTGTTTTGGTCCGTGTTTCTGAGCTAAATGAATCGAGGCCCAAAGTCTGTTTATTCATATTTAGTTTTAATATTATTCTTCCATCTGCGCTAAAGTATTTCAAGTGATGCTTTCCTTGCAGATTTATATAGGAACATATTTAATGTTTTCTTTCAATTTCTATATCGTTCTTCCAAATTTCCGCTTTCCAAGACACTTCGGCGTCGTTTACCGAACTTGATGTTGAAATGCATTTCTAGGCTCAACTGTGTTAAACATGTATTTTGGCTGCCTTACGTCGATTGGCATTACGACGCTGAGTGTATGTGTTCTAGTGTCCGTTTCGGGTGGAATTCTGAGTCTCTCCTGCGGTAAAAGTTGCTTTTTGGAGGCGTTGCTACGATAGTACGCAAATTAAGTCTTTGCGAGTGAAAGTCGCAATGCACGTAGTATAATTGTCGCTCTTCTCATGCCTTTGTCGCTGTAGAAGATTTGAGTGAATGAGCCACCGAGTTAGAACAGGTGGAGTGTCGAAAGAAATAAAATTTGAGATTTTACTCTTGACCGTTTTACCAACTAAAATTTTTATAGCCTCTACTGTTTTAGTTAAAACTTTTTTCTTATAAATCCATAGTTTAGAATTGCTCCGTCTTGGATCATGATAATTTTTGTTAATTCATTATTATATGGAAGTACTTAGAACTTCTCAAATTTAATTTACGTATGAAAGATCTTTGGACAAGTATTTTTGACCATGTGTGTTAACAATTAACTGTTCGATTTAATTGATTTCATTAATATGTACGGAAATACTAGAAGTAGCTGCATATGTATTTTATTGTGTGTACAGAAGACTTCATAATCCTTGCTAACAATTTCTGATGCTCTACTTCACATACATTTTTTCGTAATATTATACTCCGTGATTAGAGTCTCTGTTCTTGTCTTTCATGTGGAGAAGGAACATGAAGAAAGATATTGATTGATTCATCATCTGCGGACAAAATAGAAAAAAAACCCACTATATTAAAAAGTACTGAAGCGGCTGTGTGAAATGTAACATGTACTATGCAATATGCATTTAAAATTTTTGTAGGTACCTTTTAGATTAGCTAATCTTTTCACACTCCGTTTCCGATTAATCTACTATATATTGTTTTCGACAAACGAAATCATTATTATACGTTGAGTCGAGGATTAGATATTGAGCTTTACACTTTAGAATTTCCTGTTCATAAAGAATTAACAGATTGTTAATCAAAAGAGAGTAAGGGGAGGTATGTTACATTGCTAATATCAAACTCATATTACGTGTAATTATATGGACACCTGCTACTTCTTTTGGTCATGTTATTGTTGCAAACTTTGTGCCCTCTCATATAATAAATGATGAGTGTTCTTACATTCATCATGGTCTTGTTGGAGACAGGAACAAAGTTGTCAGCCGTGAGTGTAAACTCCTTGTTGGCCGCGGCGATGATGAAGATCAGACAGCGCTGGAACGGGACAGGAGTTCCCACCCAGTCGCAACCCCAGGCTGCGTCTCTAACACTTTCAGCCTGGAATAATTTGGGAAGCATTGAAACGTATGAATATAAATAAGGGCTTAATCACATTGACACTGTGCGTTATAGCACAATATAACGTTCGTACGTGATTTTTTTTGAAGTCAACACTCAATATTGAATGTAATTGTAGGTTTAAAAAGTGAACGTTATTGTGACAAAGGTGGTATTGCGACGACGTAGACGTTAACAAATTTATATTTGGATGAGGACTCAGTGAGCAGATACGATACATGCAAATTATGTTGCGGTGCATATAGTGATGATTCGTTGGATGTGAAACCCGTCTACATTATAAAGTTAGAAGGTAAAAGACGTCACATTTCTGATAAAATCACCAATACACTAATAATTCAAGCACATTAATAATACAAAAAATTAAGTAAAAAATGTGTGTTTAAGATTTCCAGTTAATTTTACCTGTTCTGACAGCTCACTTCCAAGCCAGCAGAATACATACAGGCAGGAAGTCAACAGAGAATACAAGAGTAGGGCCTGAGATACGTCAGTGTAATCTCCCCAACTCTGCCAAATGAAATATTCATGTACTTCAGATTACGTGCGACAGATAGATATTATACATTAATACAGTGAGTCATCTGTCTTCCCTAATTCCATTCATTTACACAAATTCAAAATATTTAGACGTTAATTAAACAGAACAGAGATACAAATTTAATAAAGTAGACGTTCTCGCGTGAATAAGAGGTTTTAAAATACTGTACTAATTATACTACATAAATGTTTCGCTCTGTCGATAATGTATTTAGCATTGCACTAATATACAAGACATAATGTTGTTCAGAACCTGGGAAAAATTACCAAGCCTTTAGAATAAATACAACTATGCTTTTAATGAAAGCGTGACAATTTATTTCTTACTTATAAAAGCTGTGTATGTCTAAGAATGACAAGCCAATCTGTGCAGTATCTTACTCGATTTGGCTATAGGCTTTGTCGTTTTGTGCGGAATATATTGTGAGCAGTACTTTCCATTTAGAAATTTTCTGTGCAATGTAGGAGTGAAAGGCAATCGATCATAGTCATGGATTACTGCAATTCAAAATTTTCGCTCATTTAGCATTGCTTAAAATGCATTTCTACATTCAGGAAACCATACCACACCTTTGTTACGAATTTTTTTAATCATACCAAGGAGAATATGTGATGTTTTGATCTGAAGCTTATTCTCGGGATACCACCCGTTTCATGTGATTTAAAGACGAAAAAATTGTTATGCCCTTCTGTACCCTGAGAATATAAGGACAAAGATGTTTCTCGAAACGTTGTTATTTTTGCACATTGCCGGAGAAGAATTTATTATATGTGATGTTTATTGTTGGAATCAGATAGACCAAATAGATGATCAGAGAGTGACATCGATTTATGGAATATTGAAGCAGATCATAGTAAAAAGTAACCACTGTCATGTTAAAGTTTGTTGAGTTCTTTACCGTGATAGCAGAGAAGGCGACAAAACACATAGCTGATAATAAAATCAGAAACACTCCACACAGCGGATGAGTCAGCGTGCTTTCCAACGTCTCCAGATATCTGCAAAATGGTAGGATTATGTAGAAAACATACTTTATTCTATGAATGAACACAAGACGAAATTTGTTTGTCAACCGCTAAACATGATCGGACCGTTTTATCTGTTGGTGATGCCGAATGCAGTCGTTCAGTTGTTTTTGCATGCGATGGAACACTTCCTCAGGGGTGTGGGGATGTTCCTCGCCATCCTGTTGGTTGGTCTCGGCCCCACAGTCCTGTTGTAATATGATATGTGTCTGTCTGATGTCCAGTATGGCCGCTCTGAGTTTCTCCAGCTGACTGCACGCCACACATACGAACGTAGCGTACAGACATTGGAAGCCAACAAATAAGCATATTACGAAGAGGGATGCAATGCCCTGTGGGAGATGAGTAATTCAGTTATTTAGATTAGAAAACTAAATTATAGACTTAAAGAAAATATACAACATAGATGTTACTTGGTTTTCACTGGTCATCGAGCTTAAAGGAATTTTGTTCTCTGGATTTGTGAATTGTGTTTATTGGGTTTTGGCGCCGTATACAAGAGTGCATGGCACCAAAACCCAGAAGATCACAATCCACATTTTTCTGTTATGAAAACCTTAAATATCATATCTCGTAAACCTTTGATTTAGTGCAATTTATACTCATAAGAAATATATTCTGTTGAGATATTAACGTTTCAGAATTAGATTTTTGGCACAGTGGCCGGTCTTGTGGCTATTTGCTAACAGCTTTGTAAGTTTTGAAGAAATTTTGATCTTTATCATTTTACAACGTTTGATTAAAGTTAAATACTTTTAAAATTCGGAATATTACTTGTGTGAAGTTCGCAATTTCGTACGCTGGGCTCTCCGATACGTCGAAAGGATACCACGTTGTGAAGAAGACCATGTCGTGGTTTAGGATAATGCGAAATGTGCTCTGGATACTGTGGTATCCGATTAGGATTGCTGGTACGTATTGTGCAAGTCTTTGGATGAGCGGGATGTACCCAGCCTTTGTCAAATATCCGGTGTCTGGATCTCTAGACGGCAGTTCTTCCCAGGTGAATGTATCCGTCAGACGAATTAGGTATTCGATTTCACGTCTACGATAGCTGCAATGCATATTCATAAGTACAGTAGTTAAAGGAAGTGAATAGCCGACATGTATTATAATATTCACTATTATATATATATACAATATCAGCTCCATTACTGATTATTTATTACCCTTTGTATTGGTGCGTCTAGAAGTGAAAAGAGTCTTTATTAGTGCATGAAAAGAATTGTTTGTAGGAACTTAAGAAAATGCTGCCATATTTGTACATAAATAACAGATGATCCTAAATATTTACCTTAGTCTGTCTTGTTTTATAATGTCCTGGACATTAGTGTGACAATAGATGCAAGTATGCTACATTCTGATTAATATGCAAGTTAGATATTTGACCACTGTTAAACTCATTATTTTATTACAACAATTTTCTTTTATATATATATATATATATATATATATATATATATATATATATCGTAAAGACCTGTACCTGAGACTGAAATGTATCCATGTGACGAGTTGCATTCCTACTAATATGCGGATTTTCTTCATGGCTTGTACCAGTTGATTTCTATGAACATACGAATCTATCCAAAGGCATACGCTGGTGGTGTAAAAACACACTATAATAAACACGTTATAAGCGGTATTAGCATTTGATACTGATTTTATGTTGAGTGGAATTCCTCCCAGTCTCAATAGAGACAGAAGGGTCTTGAACCGACGCTCATTAAGATTTGTGTCACACGAAGTATAAGTCTTCATTTTAATGTTAATGTGCTTCAGGTATAAACCTTATAAGTTGTAACTATTAACCGATTTTAATATTTCAGAAAGATGCGAGATCTTTATTCGAATCTGTGTCCTTCAGACAGAGAATTCAAAATGTGACTGAGGAGTTTGAAAGTCGAAACATGTATAAAATGTGTTCACCACAAAAGCACTCTAGGAAACTGTAAAATATTGATGAAGCACGAAAAGAATGCTTTTCGTCTGCGTATGCGTGTAAAAATCGGGCGGAGATCCTGTCTATAGATCAATTACACAGTATAAGATACCTGTTCCAAAAGAAAAGAAAAAACTTAAGCGACTAAACTGGGTTTAGTTATTGAAGATGTGGATTAATTTATAACGTCGAGAAGTTTAATTCGAAATAAAATGGAAATCGTTACCTTACACAGAACTTGTACAGATCACTTTCGGTAAACAACTAAATATAATGCAGCGTGATTAGTTGAACTTTATAATCTTTTAAACAAAAGAATTTATGTTCAATCTGTATATGACTATACTTTGATTCTGTTTATACTTCTATTTTAATTGAGGGTGGGCGCTCGGACGTTTACTTTACGTGCAGTGGAATATATTTATTAACAACTAACGTTCCCTGCCCATTTACAGAGATAGTTTGCAAAAATATGTATACATCATCAGCTTCTCCATATCTGCCTGTCTGTCCTCATGTATCACAAGGCTTTATTTCACAAACTATCAGACTGATTGTGGGTACTAACTGTGTAGTAGCCCGATGCATCAGACTGAGAATTGAGTGTCCTCCTCCGAACGTGGGGACCTGTTATACATCATGTGAGGTTCTCGCCCACCTCCTTGCTGATGTTGTTTTGAGTCCTGAAGATGGCAGAAGTGTGATCCTCCGAATCTTTTGTACCTATCTACAAGCCCACACGACGTTTCAGTTCGGAAGACTAACGTCAACTCTGATTGGTTATAACTGGCAAAGTACGCGCTTTTTTATTCTGTATGATGATTGTACCGAACATGTATCGGTAGACATTTTGTAGTTAGTATACAGTAAGAAGGACCTAAGTCAGTAAAAATCACGATTGACTGAAACCGTTCTTAAGAGCACCAAATATATTACATCAAATGAAACTGTAGGATGATGAACAGTCGGCAGGTGCAGTGAGAATTTGGAAGGAGACGGTGGACTGTTCCAAGGTTCTGTCTATTCGTCTATTGGGTCTGAGAAATGCACTTGGAACTTGATGGAGACAGCCAGAAATCCTGTCGAGAGTTAATCCGTAAATGTTTGGAATTATACCACTGTACAATAATTCTGGGATTTAAGAAGGGCACCATTACGCTATTTTATTCGAACTCCTCGTGATGTATTGCCAGTGAAGTAGTTCTCAGCTATTAAAGATCTTCACACACGAGCCTACCAAGCCAAAGAGACATTTTTTCTAGAGGATCTGTCAGAAAGTCATTTTCATATTCGCCGCCATGGGAACTTCAAACCTCGCAAGAATAAGTGTGGCTGAGTCCATATTTCGAATCTCATTTCTGACACATGTAAATGGATAAAGAAGACAATGGGGTTTGTGTTTTTCATTAATATATTCAGAGCAAAACAGATTGGGAAGTACATAACATGAACATTATCATTTCATGAGGACTGTTGTAAAGAAGCGATTAGGTATGTTTCCTACTGATACACTTATAGTTATGTTAAATAACGTCACACTCCCTGATTGTTGTCTGCATTCTTGTCTTTCATGTGGAGGAGGAACATGAAGAAGGATATCGATTGATTCATCATCTGTGAACAAAATTGATACACATGGTATTATAAACCAAAAGTCCAGCCGAAGACTTTACGAGAAGATGTGGCTATTTGCAGCTTATTGGCAGTGCGAACTGCTATAAAGATAAAATGTTCATATGGGATAATGTAATTGAGTAGTATTTACAATCAGTAAAGCTTTCTCGTTCTACGAGAATCCTCCATCAGAAATTGATTGTAGCGAAATTTTTAAAATAATCTTCTGGCTTATATGATCCTAGGACGTACATTTTCGTTTTAAAAAAGTAAGAATAAACATCTCGTTTGTGATATAGGTAAGAATATGAAGATCGAGTTATTCAATTTGTTACTTTTTTTACGAATATCCTCACAAGTGTATGTCGTGTCACAATTACACTACGATGAGTGTTCTTACATTCATCATGGTCTTGTTGGAGACTGGAACAAACTTGCCAGCCGTGAGTATAAACTCCTTGTTGGCTTTGGCGATGATGAACATCAGACAGCGTTGGAACGGGACAGGAGTTCCCACCCAGTCGCACCCCCAGGCCGCGTCTCTAACACTTTCAACCTGAAATAATTAGGAAAACATTGTCACTTACTTTCACGAACAGTAATATTTTTTAAAAAAGTAGCACATTGCAGACTTATAAGTTCTTTTCGAAATTAAGAACGTTTATTTTAAAGTTGACGTTTCAAGGCTCATTGGTACGGCGGCATATAAACTGATTTCATGGAGTTCTGTCCTTCTGGAGAAGCTAATAATCTCCTAGGTAATTATAGAACATAAAATGTTGAATATCTTCTGCAAATAGGGAGGTTTTCACGGTTACAAGAATCTCGTGTACGAATTTGCTGGTCAGATATGACAAAACGCGAGCTTTATATACAATGTCAGGCAGATTACATACGTTAGAAAACGATGTAACAAATTTAGACGGACACATGAACATAATTGCAGGACATGCACTGCTAATAGTTCGGAATGTTGATAATAATAAGTTATGAAAACGTAACTTGAAATCCACATGTAAGTGTTCCAGATATTCTTACCCCTTCTGATAGCTCGTTCCCGAGCCAGCAGTACACACACATGCAGCCTGTCTGCACTATATATACTGCTAGAGCCTGCGATACATCAGTGTGATCTCCCCAGCTCTGCGAAATGAAATATTCAATTAACCTGCTAGGCTAGAAATCATTTACGTTTTGACATAAAATAATATTGTGCAACCTCTGATTCCATTTAAGCGGGACTATGCCTAGACCACGGCCTTGCCCAATTTATAACTTGTGTTGGGCAAGGCCGTGGTCTAGGCTTCCCCGGTTTCTCCGTGGCATCCCAACAATTACTCCATTCACACACAGAAGAAGGTAATGGCAAACCACTTCTGGATCATCTGCCAAGAACGTATATGAACAGGTCCCAGTCCGAGAAAAGGATGGAAGGATCCTGTTCATATGGACCTGTCGTCAGACAGAACACTAAATAAATAAAATAAAATGTACGTGTAAAGTATTTAGAAATTTTACAATTTAGTCTGAGTGTTAATTTGCAAGTGACACGAAATGGTTACTTGATAGACAGGATTAGTAGCAAATGGTAAATGAAACATTTGTAATTGGATAAACATTTTCTTGGATATTATCCATCGTCTAGTAAATTAAAATATAAAACGACGTTTCGGAGATGGGGCTCTCTCCTGTCCGGAGACAGGGATTAGCACTATCTAATGGGCCCAACTGAGTACGTACCTGATCGGAGATATAGCAGCATCTCCGAAACGTCGTTTTATATTTTAATTTACTAGACGATGGATAATATCCAAGAAAATTTTTATTGAAATGACTCACCATCGTCAAGAACTTTTAGATTTGATATTTGTAAATGGATTTGATTCTATGAATTAAGATTGTTTACCATACGAGTTTACTTCGCTAACTAGTTTGTTTTGAATATTGCATTTTAAATGAGGCTCTACACGTATCTACCACTATCATGCGAACATTGTACTTTACCGTGATAGCTGAGAAGGCGTCAAAGCACATCGCTGATAAGAAAATTAGAAATAGTCCACATAGAGGAAAGTTCATTGTGTCTTCCAATACTTGGATATACCTGGAAAAGTGCAAGATGATGTAGCGAAATGAATGTTTTCTCTTTCGAAACAATAACGTCATTTTAGACTTAAACAATTTTAATTACCACCGCACCGTAATATTTTCTGGTGGTGCCGTATGCAGTCGTTCAGTTGTTTCTGCATGTGACCGGACACTTCCTCAGTGGTGAGGGCCTGTCCCTCCAGTCGATCGGTCTCGGCCCCACGGTCCTGTTCTGATGTGACACGTGTCTGTCCGATATCCAGTAGGGCTGCTCTGAGTTTCTCAACCTGGCTGCAGGCTACGCAAACCAGCGTAGCGTACAGACTCGGGAAGCCAAAATATGTGCATGCCATGAATAGTGACGCAATGCCCTGTGAGATGGAGGATTTGATTATTCTGATTTAATGTGTAATTTAAATAGGCGTGGTATTAAAATCGAAGAAGTGTTTTAAAATAACCATAGCACGTTATAGAATCTAACCGAGCGGCGTATTTTATACATCTCCTCTTAAACACTAATACAAATGTTTCTTGGACTAACTGTTATTTTATTAATACAAGTGTGTATCGACAGAACGGGTGTGTATCATCACAAGTCTTTTGAAGAACTGACACTACATTGACACAATATCCAGCTCATTACTTTCATTGTGAATTATTTTCGTGTTTTACTTACGTTATTATCTATCAAAGGAATTTAATATTCTAAAAATAAGTAGGCCTACTTGTAGGAAATACTGTGGTATGAAAATAATGGAAACTATTTTACATTTACAGATAGATTTCTTTTTACAATTTTCTCGAAAAATTTACTTTGATGAAATTTGTGTTGGGGATGGTTGTTTTCTGAGATGTCGCGTCGCATAGTCTGGTGACGTTGGGCTACATTACACAGGTACTTGCTGCCTCCATTATCAGGGCGATGAGTAAGTCGTGCCGTGAGTTATGGGAACTTATCAGACTAGGTTGCACCTTTGGCGAATCATTGGGTACGATGGCGAGGATCTGGTTAATAAGTAGATTATGATAATCTCATTTGTGACACAATGTGGTCCTGTACCTGCCGGAGTACACTATTTCGGAAACCAGAACGCTACGATCCAATTCTTCACGGCCACTAAACGCCAAATCTCATAAAGTTTAATAATTGTAAGAATTTTTGCATTACCTGTGTGAAGTTTGCAATTTCATACGCCGGGCTCGATGAGAAGTCGAAGGGATACCAGTTAGCGAAGACCATATCATGGCTTAGCACTATGCGCACTGTACTCTGAGTGCCGTGGAATATGCATACGACAGCCGGTGTGTACACTGCAAATCTTTGGATAATCGGAATGTATCCGGCCTTTGTCAGATATCCAGTGTTAGGATCTCTGGTCGGCAGTTCTTCCCAGGTGAAAGAATCCGTCAGGCCAATCAGGTGCTCGAGTTCGCCTTTACGATAGCTGTAACAGGAATAAACATTCAATTATATGTTTTCAGTAACTTATAGTAGTGGATAACTGACGTGACGTAACGGGTAGGTCCAGTCATTATAATCATCTACCGCAATATTGATAAATTTAACGCCATGCAACACGGTCATTCTTGAGAATCGAAAAGTACATTTTACAGTGAGCATATTTGACGTTTGTGCTGTGCGTGAATACTGCGTTGTTTTCCGCGTTTCCGTCAGTTACAAAAATTTTGCGAATGCAGTAATGTCGTAAGTTACGTTCACCTACGTTTACGGTGTGCTGAAAATATTCCTCGTCCCATCGGCTCTGATATGTTCCCCACAAGACCTTCACTTGGCATATAAGGCGGGACACTCAAAGGTGAATGATATGTCTGAGGTCTTCGCTGTGTGGATTTTTAAAACAGTCACTTCGTCTTGCGAAGCGAATGTTCAGTCCAAATTCCAGTTTCGTCCAACTTCGCTCTGTTGCCACTTTTCTTTCCCTTCTAATAAGGCGGACACGTGCAGTTTCTTCTCCCACCTCAAATTTTCGCCCGTCCGCCATTTTGTTACAACGAATTGCAGGTATTTAGAAACGACAGCGAATGAGTTGACGTTCGAACCAAGTTTCGTGAAAGTCGTTTGGCTGGTTCAAATTTTAAACACTTACACAGATCGATGCTCTCAAAAACTACATTTTGTTTTGCAGTTTGTGCAATATTTATTTTACGAATAAATGCAAATTCTGAATGTGGTACTCTAGGCCTACATGTTAAAGATTTTTTTATTATTTTCGTAGAGATTTATTGATCTAGAATAAAGTATTATTTTCAAAGAATGCAGTATAATTTGACATACTGTACCTGAGACTGAAATGAATCCACAGTGAGAGTACCATTCCCATTAAAACCCGTAATTTCTTCATGGCTTGGTCCAGTTGGTGTCTGTGAGTGAACGTATCCATAGCAAGACAAAACATAGTACAATAGTAACAGAAGATAATAAACACACTATATACGGTGCGAACTTTTGATATTGACTTCATGTTAAGTGGGATTCCTCCCAATCGCAGTAAAACCAAAATAGTCTTAAACCGACGCTCATCCAGGTTCCTGTCACTGGAGATAACAGGCTTCATTGTAATGTTGCTATGCGATGTGTTACGTGTAACTGTCACGGGTTTGTTTTGATGAAAAGGATGTCTACTTCTTGCAAGTCTGTAGCCGTCAGATGGGCTATACGAAGTGTTACTGAGCAGTTTGAAACATGAAATATATAGAATTCTGTGTGCACCACAGAACTATACTTCCAGAAAGCTGTAAAATATTGATGAAACACGAAACCTGTCGGCCGTCTTAGTCCATGCGTGTTAAAATCGGTCGGAGACGATGCCCGTAGATCAATTTCAGTGCGTAAAGTAGCGGAGTTGTTCGAAACTTATTGGAACTTGACTGGGCTGAGTTATTAAAACGTATTAATTTATAAAACAAAATTTAATGGATATCAAAACTTTGTTTCTGTTCTCAAAGAAGTATGTGTATAGATAGCTTTCAAGAACGGATTACTAATGGTAATATTTGAACCTAATAGACATGTAACACGAATATGTAAATAAAAATTATTTTAAATAACGCGGAACATTATGAAGTTTACTTTTACCCTAATGTAAATATTGTTAAAATAAGTATGAGTGAGGTGGACGGAACATGTAGTACTCATACGGGAGATTAGAAATGCATACAAAATTCAGTGGCGTAGTCTGCAAGGAAGAGGCCTGTATGAACAAGTAGTGTAATGCTAAATTAGATCTTAGGTATGTAAGGCGATGAGGGAGCGAACGTATTTTATGTTCTTCGAAACGTCGGAATCTACCTACAAGTCCATAAGACTTTACTATCCACAAATCAGAGGGACAATTTCATCGCCCCGAGGACCTCAGATGTCGTATATGCATGTTCTTATTTCTTCACTGTTGAGACGTTGAAATTAAATAACTTCCAGGTCTCGGCAAAAGCAGTTGAATGTATTTTACTAATGATATATTATGCATCCTACTGTATCTGGTGAGATCCTTCCCCACTGAATGTAACAAACATTTTCTACTCCTATGTTCCATGTTGCAAATTCTTGTACCTGAAGTGACGATAGGTAATGGTACCTTATTTAAGAGTTGTATATTTGAGACGCTAATTATAGCCGTCTTAATAACATTATTTTTTGTTGGGCAAGGCCGTGGTCTAGGCAACCCGGAGTTTTCCTCCGGGGGCTTCCCCGGTTTCTCCGTGGCATCCCAACAATTACTCCTTTCACACGCAGAAGAAGGCAATGGCAAACCACTTCTGGATCATCTGCCAAGAACGTATATGAACAGGTCCCAGTCCGAGAAAAGGATGGAAGGATCCTGTTCATATGGACCTGGCGTCAGACAGAACACTAAAAAAAAAAATATTATGATATATTACCCGACACCACATTAAAAGATGATGCATATTTAATAACGCATTTATAAGTGCACTGCAGTTGTTGATACTTGTTTCTACATAGTCTTTGATGTAACGATTGAATTTTTACTTTCGTATGCTTTATAAGCTCGTGATTTCATAACACACATCTGCAGAGAGCATTAAAACGTAATTTTTGCACTGAATACAATACCAGCTCAATATAGTTCTGTAGGAAGTCATGTATACCTGCCATGAAGCTTTGCTATGAACTGGTGACTCTGAAGAACTTGTGAATTTCAGTCCAACCTCCACCGTTTTACAAATCTGAATCCTGCGAAGAGACATTCCGGTTTCATCTACTAAGTGTAGACCACACTAGGTCCCCGTTGTAAACTCAACATGAGGATTTCGATAAAAAGTTTAAAATTGCATCATCTGTATGCACTTTCTTATTAGTAACTATTACAAATTGTCCGTAGCGCTATTATGTGTCGCCTATAGGAATGTATCCGTTTATTATTGAATTTTGTTTCTTTTATATACACGGTGTTTATTAGTTGGTGTATATACAGTGGATCAATTCCTCTTGAATTGTGTAAAATATTAATTAATTGTTCTTGGTATTTTGTGCGTGTTAAAATTGGGCGACTACGATTTCCGTAAAGAAAATTGAATTAAAAGGTATAAGTCAGTCGATCTTAATTAGTGATCGTGGTACTGTAAAATATCAACACTGTAGTTGGAGCAAACTGTTTGCTGACGTTATCCATCATCGAAGACTAACTACAAACAATAAAAATATGGCATTATTATGCAATGTGTCTCATTTGTAGTGGTTTAATTTAGTGAGACAGTCTGAGTTGTTATTTATTCTGGGTTATGACAGGGAATAGTTGCGGACTTCTTCGAAAATGAAGTTTTATTGACTTTTTCGATCTATAGAGGCGTCGATTTTTGCACTTGCTGGACTATTGACTTCTGAAGAACAATTTCGAAACGAAGAGTTGATTTTGGTTAGGTGACGTCGGGCACTGATTGAATACGAATTTTCCAGCGGCTTATGAGCGTGCTGAATGGACGTAGATGTGGGAATTATGGCTTAATTTTGGATTTTACACGACGACATATATATTTTGATTTATTTTTTTGGATCGTTTGGCATAAATGGATAATATAGCAAGTTAATTTATAATTTCCAGGAAAATCGGCTTATGCAACGACGAAATATAAGGGTTCATTTATATCACATGAGTTTTATTGAATTGGTTATCAGAACTACAACAATAACTACTGCTCTACTTTACGTTAAGAATCTCTAATGTCATGCTCCCTGACTGGTGTCTGTACTTTTGTCCTTCATCTGCAGAAGAAACATGAAGAAGGACAGTGTCTGATTCATCATCTGTGAAAAAATGAAATGCATGATATTATAACCGAAACTATAATCGAATAAAATTTATTTTACGTTATAATTTCGTAATATTTAAATGAAATACATTTTTACGTCTGCATTATTTTGTTCAAGAAATTGAAAAAATAAACTGATCTTAATTATATGCTGCATATTTGTTACTATTTCGAAGCTTGAACGGTGCATTTGAAACGCATCTAAGTGCAGCAAACTGTGATCTGTTTTGGTGTTTTTAGTATGACGCAATTCTAAGTTAATTCCTAAGTTTGTTCACGCCTTATCTGTTGTGTTACTAGTAATGTTATCAGCATGTAATATGGAATCTTTGCCGTCTTTCCAAATTTGTGTCCTGTCACATGTCACAGAAGTGTATCCTCACATTCATCATGGTCTTGTTGGAGACTGGAACAAACTTGCCAGCCGTGAGTGTAAACTCCTTGTTGGCTGCGGCGATGATGAAGATCAGACAGCGCTGGAAGGGGACGGGAGTTCCCACCCAGTCGCATCCCCAGGCCGCGTCTCTGACGTTTTCAGCCTGGAATAATTTGGGGATCAGTTAACATTCCTGTGATGAATAAGCACAGATTATTGGCTTATCGCCAGTTCCTAATCCATATAATCACAGCCATCTCCCACATCTGGAGGCGTTCTCCATCCGCAACATGAAGATGCACCATGACATTGAAACACCAAATAACAACCATTAAGAAGACACGTGTGCAAGTGCGGTATAGATGTTAAAGAATGTTGATAAATAATTATCATATTTATCACAAGTCTGTCTGCCTGCCTGATGTTCGTAGTGTTCTAACGCTATGTTCGAGGACGATCAATTAATATTACCTCCTCTGACAGTTCGTTTCCAAGCCAACAGAATTGGCACACACAGGCTGAGACCATTATGTATATTATCAAAGCCTGCGATACGTCTACGTGATCTCCCCAACTCTGTAAAAGAGAAACGTTCATGTAGTTTACATTATCCTGCAATAGACAGGTATAATTTAGGTATTCTGAGGCAGAAATATGCACCACATGATTACACTGAAAATAATTAGATCTTAATACGTGATATACATAACATGATGAAACGAATATATATCACCGTCAACTATATTCTCCTCTTAATATATAAATGCCGCTTTAGTTTAGACATTATACGAGGTTTTTGTTACCGGAATCCAAGTGAAATTAATAAATTACGTAGAATTAACTGAAATGTCTTTTATGATAATTTTAATTGCATGATAATACAAAACTGGATATTTTAATTCCTTTATTATTTTATATGACAAATACTGGAGATTTGTGCCGTACCGTAAAATATATGCGAACCGGAGTATTATTTGTGTTAAAGTGCACACCAGTAAAACACCTACGAAGAAACCAGTTGACACGTTTACAACCAAGCATCGTACATCGAAATTGTTCTTTACAAGAAAACAAGTTTTAATTACCTCAACACGCACATTTTCTGATTCTGAAGTTTCATTTTCACGTCTTACAAGCAACTGAGCAGAATGAAACATCCGACACCGAAATACTAAACTTGAATGCGGTCGATAAAGACACTTTAGGGGCTTAGGATAGATCTTTACCAAGGTGGCGGAGAACGCTGCGAAACACATCGTTGATAAGCAGATCAGAAATAGCCCACACATTGGAAGATTCATTGCGTTTTCCAGTGCTTCCATGTATCTGAAAACATGTAAGATTATGTAGGGGCATTATTGTTTCTCTCGTTCGAAACTGATATCAGATTAGATTTCATAAGGAAGTTATAAACTCACCGTTTTATCTTCTGATGGTGTCGTATGCAGTCGTTCAGTTGTTTTTGCATGTGACCAAACAGTTCCTCATGGGTGCGGGGATGTCCCTCTCCATCCTTTTTGTTGGTCTCTGCCCCACAGTCCTGTTCCGGTGTGATATATGTCTGTCTGATATCCAGTATGGCCGCCCTGAGTTTCTCCAGCTGACTGCAGGCCACACATACGAACGTTGCGTACAGGGATTGGAAACCGATGAATAAGAATATCATGAGGATTGTTTGAATGGCCTGTGGGAGACGAGTTTTAGTTATTGTGATGAATTCGGTGATTTTTGGAGGAACATAAAGTGTCACTAACTTTTACTGTTCATCATTATTCGTTCCGACTTCATGTTAATACCGATGAAAGAGTTGTTATAATTTGCACGCCTGTAAGGAATACCATGTTTCTCATGTTGGCGGCAATGGTTGCAAAAATGAATTCCTGTAATTTGAATCACTAAAAGAAGTCACAAAATTGTTTACATTTAAAGAGTTTTTCTTTTACTGAATTGCTCTAATGTATGTTTTTTTTATTTGCTAATAGTTTCTTTAACGACATTTTTAATTAGCTCAGACTATAGGGCGTGGAATGAGAGGTGAATAGTGAATAATGAATTGGAAAGGCTGTGGAAGGAAGCAGTTGCAATCTCATTTAAGGGACTTTCCATTTATTTGCCTAGACAGACCGAGTAAAACCACTAAAATCTGAGTCAGGATAATCGGGCTCTGGGCTGAGATTTGAACCCGGGGAGGGAGTTTAACTACTTCACAACGACGTTCGATTATGATTGTTTTAAGATAAAGTTTTGTACCCGAGTAACGTATATGCAGGAGCACGCGAATAAATAATTAATTTCCAGTATTTTATACAACGTTGATGAACAGACTACATTCTGGAACAACCTGTCCTTGCGTTTCTAATCTTCTTATTCAAACATATCTCATTATAGTCGTGGTATTTAGGTTTCTATTCGTAATGGAAGTGATTCCATCTTGTATGAACTGTCCCCGCGGAAATACACGTCAGTCGCTTTGCTTTTGTCATGTTTTCGTGAATTTTATGTAGTTGATACCGGTCCTTCCTTGATTTTGAACAACATGATTAGTGTATTGTTTTATATCATGTATAAAAGATTCCAATGTGTTCCTTAGACAATATGTTACGATTTTCGCCTTCAAACATCGTGTCGTTGAAGGTAATTATCATAATATATTGTATTAGTATAGTTCTGCTATGTCACAGGAGTTGCTAATCCTAGAACTACATATATTAACCACTATGTAATCCCAGTCGAAGTAGGAGACATTAAGTATTCTACGGTTTATTGCAGTTTGACATATTCTTCAGTATTCAAAACTTGACTGGAATTGTGCATTTTGTATTTAGAATTATATAGAAAATAGTATCTTGTAATAATCGTGGCAAGATGGATGGTTTTCTCAATCCTTAAATAATATCAACACATACAAAGATGGCTTGAGTAAATTGTGGTTTTTTAAAGTTACGATTTTATATTTTACCTGTGTGATGTTTGCAATTTCATACGCTGGGCTCTCTGATACTTCTAAAGGATACCAGGAAGCGAAGACCATGTCATGGTTGAGTATTATGCGTACCGTTGTCTGGGTGCAGTGGTATATGATTGCGAAGAGAGTGGCGTATTTGGTAAGTTTCTGAATGAAGGGGAGGTATCCGGCCTTTGTCAAATATCCGGTGTCCGGATCTCTAGTCGGCAGTTCTTCCCAAGTGAAATAATCCGTCAGACGAATCAGATGTTCAACTTCACGTTTACGATAACTGTAAGATGAACAAAGGTTAATTGAAACATTATCAAAATTTTTATCATTAGTACGAGTGTACGTATGTTGGATTATCTTTATCTGTACGAGCATAATTACGGAATGGCATTTATGAGAGAAATGCATGCTATTTATAATTTTAAACAAGAATTTAGTATCTGCTTGCATTGTTTCTCCCTGTATTTTGAATTAGACAAAGAAAACTCATTCTTCAGCAAACCCCTTCATTTGCAGTATTAATACCAATTAACTTTAGAAAATGACAGTGCATATATGCTGTGTGAAAACGGCGGTGTTCTCAAATATCACGCATTGTGATTATATTTTAGAATATTTCAATTATTTTCGTAATGTGATTTGCGCTTACCTCAGGCTAAAATGCATCCACGTAACGATCTGTGTTGCAATTAACAAGCGTAATTTCTTCATTAATTCCACCAACTGATGTCTTTGAACAAACGTATCCACATAAAGAGACAAAATACTAACGTGAATGAATACGGCAAGTATCACGCTATATATGATATGAACCGCTGACTTTGACTTGACGTTAAGACGTATTCCTGTCGTCCGCAATAAAAGCAGAAGAATTTTGAAGCGACTCTCACTGAGGCTGTTGTGTGAGGCGTGAGTGTCCTTGTTCGTGTGCTCCATGTTACTTGTCACTCGGATTTCCTGCGTCTGAAAGCTGTCCTCTTCTACCTTCGAGTCTGTACCCTTCGGAGAGACGCTGCAGACTGTGTCTCAGTTCTTTGCGTCCTGAGGTATTTTTTGTGTTTACCAGAAAGCTTTAAAATATTAATAGCTGAAAGCCGGTTGGTCTCTTTGGAATATGCGTGTTAAATTAGGGCTGTCGTTCCTGGCTGAAGATCGATGTTATCGTATGAGCTGGCCTTTTCTGTAAAACTTAATGAATTTAACGGAGCTCATTTATTGATGATGCAAGTTAATTTCTAAGACAAAGAAGTTTGTTTTTAACTGTTTCTTGTACCCCAAAAAATAAGTTATTTCTAGTGTTTGAGAGACAAGGAAAATCGTTGGTTAACAAGTTCATATAAGAGTAAGCTGAAAGCACAATGGTGGAATTGCATAACTCCTGTTTTGATTGTGCAATTTACAAATATTAATTGAGTGATTCAGTCGATCTTAATTAGTGATCGTATCTAATGGGCGGTAGGATTACCATCTCGCTATTTGCAGGTCCACTTATGATTCGGTTATTTGTACCGCCAGCGTAT